AAGATACTCCCTTAACTCCTGAGGAGCACAGCATCCACAAGCCAAACTACCACTTGTCACATGCACAAGAACACGTTTTCAAAAACAAATAGTTCTTCCAGATGCCTCTGTTTCAAAATACAAGGGACACCTTTTAAGGGTATGTCTGAAGAACATTGCTTAGTATCCAGACTCTGAAAATCAGTTCAGAGTGTCTTAAATTAGGCACCTAATTGTAAATGCCCTGGCATTCATTGCCCTTTTTGGATATCCAGGCTCAGTTCAGTGAGATGGTGCAACATGCGGCTGTGCTACAGTCTGCACAGGAGAGCAGGCTTAACCACATGCATTTTCTGCTGCAGACCAGCCTTCCGCATTAGCTTTTGGCCCCGTGTGAGATTGCACCACTTCTGTATGAAGTGTGTATTTAAATATGTTTAAAAATACAAGCCTATTACTGCTTTACTGGTGTACTTCCTATTCCTGTCTAGCATTTCCTACTTCTCCTTCTCCTATGCAGTAAGACTAACTCACATAAGATACCTGTTTTAATTTTTTGGCTTTTTTTTTTTTTCTTGTAGGAATACTTTCAATTCGCTGTTTGGACTCAAATTAACTTGCAGCTTAATGAGCAGGAAGAAAAACAGAAAACCTTCAAGGTTCATTTAGTCTGATCATATAGAACTTCAAGCAACCAACACACTTTGCAGGTCTCTAGTGCTCTGCACGCTCAGGTCACCTCCCAGATGCTCTCCTTGTCCTTCTCACCACCACGCTGTCTCAGCAGACTCAGGGTAATGTTACTATCTCCACTGCGTGGATGGAAAAAGCAGGACAGAGGGTGCAAGTACTTTTTCCCTGTTATACAGCACAACGTGCCACGGACGGGGCTAAGTCAACATGGCCCAAGACCTAGCTGCTGGCCCTAGCCCTGTGCACACAGCTGATGTAAAGATTTTAAGGCTTACATGGTGATTTCACGAGGAACGAAGTGATATCAGTGGTGCTGCCAACACTGATTTTCCCTTCCTCCTCTATTGAGCAGGAAAGATTTATAAGCAAAGATATTCACACTACCAAATGCACGTTCCTGCCCTTCACATTTAAGGCAACAAAATCGACTGTGCAGAACTACAAAGAAACGACAGCAAAGATCTCATCTAGAGATGCACCCCCAGCAGCAGGTGAGCTCTGCCTGCTATAAAGAAGTCAGGTTCTTCCTGTAGACTTTTATTTTTTAAGTAGATTTCACACTGCCAGACTGACAGCCTAGACGGCTAGTGTTATCCAGTAAGTACAAAACAGAGAGCAAGGGCAGAGTCTGCAAAAGTTTCCATCCCTCCACCTACAGTCCCGTCACCTCCTCAAACTGCCGCCCTACGACAAAGGCCTGGGCCACGTTTGCAAATGTCCTGCCCTCATGCAAACAGAGGAGCGATGCTGGATGCACAAAGCAATGTCTCAGGAGAATAAGCTGTTTCATTTGCTATAAGCTAACCTCAAGCTGTCACCATTCAATCCGTTGTGAAACTTTCCATATAAAATTGCACTAGCTCCTGAGCAGTCCCTCCTGTTAAAATGATGCTTTAACTCTTCCATTTAAACTCTTCTTACTTGCACTGGAGACTCTTCTACGACTCAGGAAGCGGCGGTGCAGGCAGCAGCTTTCCCTCTGAGTCAGTACTGAGCTGAGCCACGGCCCAGACGGGCTTGCAAAGGTCACTACCATCGTGGGTAGCTTCTTTCTGATAAAATATAAAGCCCTGTGAGCTGCAGGGTCACCACGGCACTTCTGAAGCACAGCTTTAAGAGCCTTTGGTCCACCCCAAATGCCAACTCAGGTCATTATATTCTGGTTACTTGTTTGCTCCTCCATTTTAATATTTAGGTCTCTTTTCCAGGCATACCGCACATGTGTATCTGTAATTCCCTGGACAGTTGAAAGTCACCAGCTTACAACAGATTTGTCTCAAAAGAAGTTTTGAAGGTTCATTTAGTTAACATCTTAAAGCTACTACAAAATTTCAAACAACCATCATTGGCATCGTTGTCCCTAATTATGTAATATTATATAAATTACAACATAACACCCCTTTTCAATGCTCATTTCTAGATTTAGCAGGCGAGAAAAGACACCCTCTGGCGTGTTTGAAGGATAATCCAATTCCACCTCCGAGACACACACAAGTGGCATATGAACGCTCTGTGACTTTGAAAAAAATTCTCAATAAGAGAGCAATAAGCTCTTTAACAAAAATATCCTTACACTTCAGAAGACAATGATTGCTTTTCTACGTGTTTGCTGAAGTGTCTCCTAGAAACTCATATGAGAATTACATCCTAGCTGTAAAATTTCGTAAGATTCAAAGAAACCAACCAGCCCGTAGAAAGGAGATCAATCTCTATTCTGTTCGAGGCATTCACACAGTGATATCTTTGGGCTTCCATTGTATTTCCTACAAGATTTGTATTATGTCACCTCCACTATATTATGTAGAGCTCTTTAACCAAGTTTTAAAAAAACCAAAACCCGTGCTTCATGAGAGACTGTAGCCGCCCCCGTATCTCTGCTCACTTTCCTTCTTTTAATTAGGACAAGATGAACAAATCTAGGAGAGGGGAAGCAAGGTTTGAGGCGGCAAGGAAGATGCTGACTGCACCCGAAACGGAGCATTATTCTGCACTCCAGTGACAAATACTGTCTGCGGACCAGCAGGTGCTCACCGGCATCATCAACCCAAGCCCAGCACCATCTCCAGAGGGTAGACATGGTCCAGTTCTGAAACACAGCTTGCCTGCTCTCAGGGTAAGTGGGCGTCCTGCTGGGATACAGGCAAGACCACTGCCTCAGCCAAGAGGAATAGCAGAGGAGGCACGAGCAGTTCAGGTGAGCCCTTGCATCATATGTTACATTTGCTAACTACAGTCAACGATGCTGTGAACCTATTCTCCACATGAAGACCTGGCCAAACGTATAGCTGTCAGGAAAAAACAAGCCCTAAAAATCTTAAAGGCTTTCAAATGACCAAGGCACTGGGTACACATGGTACCCGCTGGGAAGGTGCTTCCAGCACTGTGCCGGCCGTAATGCCGTGCTGATCCAACTGACCCCTCACAGAGCCACAAGCACCACCATGCTGTCCGTTAAACCCCTCACATCCACACGCCTGTTCTTCCTGCCCGAAAAAAAAAAGACTCCAAGCTTTGCAAGCACTAATGAGGTCGCTGGCGTTAAAGAAATTATCTGTGATCTCACTCCACTTCCCAGCGGTTCCCAATGAACGGAAGCAGGAGGCTGTATCTAGATTGTTAATAAATGCGTGTAAACAATAGGTTCAAATGTGGAGGCTGAATGAGTCACCGCGTTCCTGCGTTCAAGCTGTGTAATAGGATCCAAACGCAGAACAAAGACCAGTTAACTTAGGGAGTGGACCAGCTAGCTAATGATAATTATTCTTGGCAGAACTCAAACAATCCCGAAATAAAAATGAGTTTAAACACCTACAGTATGCTTATAAGGAGCAAATCCACCAGGGCAGTCCTGGATCTTAGGCTTTCCTAGGATCCCTTTGCCAGTGTTCCAAAACTGTTCATCAAATAAAATAACCCAGACATGTAGGTATAGAAGAGTTATACCGGTAAGGTTTGTATGCCTCCAGTTAACCAGTTTAATGGAATATATTTACGTAACAGAAACATGCAATAAAGTCAGAAGAAAAACTGAACTCACAAGGTAGAAAATGTACTCTTTTCACTTTTCACTTCATTATTCATAAACTAGTAGGTTTATTTGCTGTATCTTTAAACAGTGAGAAAAACTTGTCAAATTACTATTGCAGAATAAAAATTTAGCAATTCTTAACACTTGTGAATCATTAGCGCAGATTAAAATTCTTCTCATGGTTTATAGCTTAGTATTCAAGTGGAGATAATTTCTTCCAGAGAGAAACTCAGAAGACAGAATTTAAGAATTTTAAGAATATTCAATAAACAAATGCCCCTGATTATTATAGAAAGATACAATGCTAATTAACAAAAAAAATCAGTAACACAGAATAAGTAGCATACATACGGAGAAAGGAAAGAGTTCCCAGAGCTCCCTGTGACGCTGGTGAGAAACGTCTTCAAACAAGATAAGGCAGCCTCTGAATAAAGTATCAGGTTTTGCTTCATAGTTGCTGATAAAATCCAAAATAAGGCTGCAAAAACATTAGCTTCTACTGAAGCCTGCTTACTCACTACAAAGCGTCAAACACACCTTCATCCCACACTTAAAACGCAGATGCTGCCTCCTAATGAACTGCTTGTTGCAAGGGGGGAATACCGTTATACAATAACCAGAAGGCTGTTTCTTGATGCAGAAACATAACTGGGTTTTGACTCAGAGAAATGCAGCAGTGCCTTGGAGCTGAGCGTTTCAGCGATAAAAATCATCCAAAAATAATTTGGCTGTTCAGAAAAAAATTTAACAGGAAGCAACCTGAAGCATATGTCCCTTCTGAAAGAGAAATTTCCACCTATGGATTTATTACATTACATAAATGCAGACCTTCTAATCTAGCCCAACAATAAATCACTGACAGTAAAACCGGAGCAGGTTAATATCTGTTCAGCCTGAGAAATGATGCTCTGATTTTAGCAGCTTTCATACCCTGAATACACACTGCATCAGTGGCTGGGAATGTATTTGCATTCACACGCTGAAAAAGCACAGATCTTGTAAAACATATTTAGGAACTGGTGAGACGTGATACATATATTGACTAATTCCATAGGCCTTTGGAGAAAATCGGTCTTCAGAGGAATGCTATTCTTATCACCTGAATAGTTCAACATCATTCTCCTTGTAAGTAAAGTTCCTCGTTCTATACTGTAGATTTTCAAAGATTAGGGCTCAAATTACTGAAAGATCTTTCATATATTTAAATTTCATTGAAACCCAGTGGCAGCTGGCTACTGAGTTCTCTTAAAACCTTTCACTGCCCATCTGAATAGGAAAGAAAAGAAATTGTCCTATTTACCATTTTGTGGCTCCATGTTGCTCTCTCTGCAAATAGCGGATTCCTCAGTTCCCACACACCAGTACATTCTGGGTTGCAGTTATGAAGATCCAAGAGACAAACTTTCTGCAGCACTTAAAATTGAATAGTGTTGTCAAAGCCGAATGGTCTCCACCAAGTAAATGCAGGAGCAGAGCGACTGCTAGTAAGCACCATCCTGAAGGAACACCATTTACCCTGTTTAAAAATAAATAGTAAACCAAATTAATCTTTCTAGTATAGAAATTGCAAGATGCTTATTCCCCTGCACCCTAACACAGCTGTCTAAATTTTACTTTGCAGAAAGGCACTCACCGTCCTATGCAAATATAAATACAATTATTTTCATAATAGCTTTGTTAAGAGCATAATGTGAATCAACACAGGAGACTAACAATGTCTCCACTATAGAAAAGATAATGTTCCAAATTTTTCTCCATCAAAGCCGCTCAGTCTTTGGGCAGAGGGTGTGGGGGGTGGGCAGGAGTCACAGCTGCAGTTTCTGATTCTCCACAGGCTAGTGTAAAGGCAGAGCATTGAAACCATGCAGCACAGCTGGAAAAATCCTAAATGCAACCTCAAAACCTTTCCCATCCACAAAGACGACTGTGGCTCTTGTAAGACTCCACTGTGAGAAACTGAGAAGTACTGATGTGGTTACTGAGACAATCCTCTGTAGAAAAGAAAGAGGGCTAAGAGAAACACACCAGCTCCTTTCCCCTTTGCCCGGTCCTTTTAGAGAACTCTACTACCCTACAAGCGTCAGGCTTCTTCAAACATGCTCAGGGAGGCAAATCAGGCCCTTAGTAGCTCTTAAAGTTTGGCTTCTTCTGAACTGTCTTGCATAACAGCCAGCAGAAAACTGCACAGCTCAGTCTCCGAGGGCATTTCCAGCTCTTTACCTCTTCAAAGCTGCACACCTGTAATTTTCTCTCTTTTAACGCATCTTCCACAGAGGTTAAAACTACGGGTGAATTTGGAGCATGTGCCCAACCAGCATCAGCGCTCCTTCATTTTCTGCTTTCAGTTTCAGTCAGTAAACGCCTCTCAGACATAACGTGATGCCCCTCACCTTTGACTCTTACTAGTTTTTCTCATGTCTGGTGCGAGATGCTGAAGTTTTGATTGGAGGCTCTAATTCGACAAAGCATGTAACCCACCTCCCGCTTCGGCCAGCAAGACCCAAGAATATCCCTAACTCTCCCTGAGCACAGTTGGCTTCCTGGGTTGGGATCAAAGGCCAAGGACAATACAAAAATACACTGATCCATCACCACTCTCCAGGAAGCTTTCTGCTCCTCCCTTGTTACATAGGGTTTTAACCACCAGCCGACAATGTTAAAAATCACTGCTACATCAGTTGTTTCTAGGCAAATATTTGAATTTTAGGTGCACTTGGAGCAAAACTCAGCTTCTGGTGACCCCTACTTTGTGGTGCCTGGCAGCAGGAACCAAAACTCACACCCCAAGCGCTGCGCACGCCCCTGCGCCCTGCAATCCGGGCATTGGGTGCTGCCACAGACCGCGATTTGGTTCTCTGGTGTTTTTCAGAGGTGGGAAAAATAATTTGGGTGCCATATGGCAAATAGTGATACGGACTGAGAGACCTGGGTCAGGCTACATGCAAGCACTTTCACACACACCCCACAGCTAAACACCTCCTGGCTACAACTCCAGATGGATGCAGATGCCTGAGCTGCCGAGCAGCCATCCCTCCCTCCACACCACAGACTGCAGCGGCAGCTCGTCTCCCACGTCAGGCCCTGGCAGCTCTCGCACCCCAACGCAGCAGCAGTTGGGCACATGTAAGACGCTGAATTTGGCAGCTTTCACCCACACAAGGAGGGGAGGCTGTGGGCTGCTGCAGGAGGCCGAGATGGAGGTGGTCCCTAAGGCCAGATCCAGCCCATGAACTGGTGAACTGGGCCATGTTGGTGGAGGACCAGATTCTGCCCTGGAACGTGCCGAGTTCTCACCGGAGTCAGCTTGGCTCCTGGGCCAAGCTTCCCTCGGCCACGCTGGCAGGCATAGCTGCCGCACTGGGACCCCACGTCTCTGCCATGTTGTGAGTCCGATACCACAGGCAGAGGTGCTGGCGAGGCTCTCACGCCTCCCAAAAGCTGTCCATCTCGTTAGCTCTGAAAATGGAGAGGATGTGATGCTTCCAGCAGCTGCCTCCCCTGCACCCTCACTATAAATGCACTGAGCAGCTACAGTAAGAATAAATACTTCCCCATGCAAAGACCATGCTAGTCTGTTGAGGCTAGCTCTTTTTAGCAGATGCTGGTTTCTGAAGCAGTTCCTTGCTGCACGACGGGGCACACCATGTGCACTCACAGCAACTGTACAAGAAACACTGAATAGGGGTCAGTGTGGACCACAGAGGCTTGAAAACCATCCCACTCCTGATTTTTAGCTTTCTACTCAGCTTATTCCCCAGGATGAAATTTTCCTCACATATAGTGAAAGGAAAAAACTTTCAGGAAAAATAATAGTGTGGTTTTGATAATCAGTTCCCTTTAACTGCAAGTAGGACACTAAATGTTGTAGCCATGCGTGTTACTGCCACACAGCACCCATGTAGGCAGTATTTCCATATTTCAGGACCTTTGTGTATATAATTAAAAAAACCCTACAGTGCTTTTACCTTAAGCAAGATACACTCAACTGTAACACATGCAAACACCATGTTTTAATTTGATTTAGGGAGAGAGATCCTATGGGCTCTGCAGAATCTCATTCAGCAACTACGCAGCATATACCTGAATGCTGATTTAACCCCATTTCACACACTCCCAGTTTCTCTCCTGAGACCTGCTACTGCCAGCTGTCAGATAGTGTCCCAGCGTGTCCGACCGTGCCTGTCCCGTCCCGAGCACCTCCTCTCCACTTTGCCACCCCGTCCAGTCTCACCCCGTGCAGAAATGCAGCAAGGCACCCAGAAACACCACGGTTTGCCCGAGATCGCTTCCCAATTGACAAGAAACCTGCCAAAACTTCAGTTCTTTGCTCAAACCACCTGCTGTTTCTGAGAAGCCCATCTGGGGCTGGGCGCTGCGATGGGTATCACCACGGATCTAGAGAGGCCCACACATTTGCTCAAACCACCTGCTGTTTCTGAGAAGCCCATCTGGGGCTGGGCGCTGCGATGGGTATCACCACGGATCTAGAGGGGCCCACACACCACCTGGATGGAAACGCACGGCGGCTCTTCTGCCGGCCATCGCACAAGGCAGGGTGAGGCCAGACCTGGAACCAAAACTGCCCGATGCCCGCCTGGGGACACGCCAGCTCGGCGGGACGCGCATCCTTCGTCCTTCGGTGAGCTCTGCGCAGAAAGCGGCAAACCAGCCCCCTTCTCCCCACACCACAGCTGCCGGCTGAGGAGAAATAAGGCAGTACACCCCGATTCGGGGTGTCTCATAACTCTTTCC